AGAGAGAGAGAGAGAGAGAGAGAGAGAGAGAGAGAGAGAGAGAGAGAGAGAGAGAGAGAGAGAGAGAGAGAGAGAGAGAGAGAGAGAGAGAGAGAGAGAGAAAGTAGGATTTTTTTGTTGGAATCACGACGCACGAGAGATAAGGGGCACAAAGTAATGCGTAATTTATCAAGCTGACACTCGGCGTTGAGTGTTAATTATACGCGACGCATCAATCCTCCGAGTTTATTCAGCGTTGCCGGCGGAAGATACGAGACGCGGTGCGCGAGGTAGTCGTTAAATCGTTACGCTCCGTCGTCTGGAAAGGAGGAAGACCCGAGTGTCGTTTCTGTTACGAAGATAGGTACACGGCCCTAATGTATTTTCGATAATCGAATTGTGTCCGTTTTCGACACGAGAATACAAAATTGTTCTTTCGAGAAAGGAAAGGATTTAAATAACGAACGAAAACACGGAATATCGATGCAACGCGCAACCGCCGAGAGAGGAATTGATTTAAAGTTGTTCTAAAGTAGCCGAGGTTCCGTCGAAATGCGTTTTCCTTCGGCCGAGGCTCGAATATCGACGCGAAGGACGAGGCGAATGGGAATCGGACGATTTCTCGCGCCGAAAGGACACTTCCAGACGATTTACGAGTCGATTAGCATGGTAATATGCGATTTACACCCGTAGAAGCCTTGGCCAGATGAGTATTTTTATTCTTTTCGCTTGGACACGAAACGCGTCGTGACTAAATTTGCGAAAGATCCTTGCCAGGACACCGAGAGAGTTGAAATCCTAAGAGAACGGACTTTTGGATGAGCACGGAACGAAAATTGCGAAATTTCATCATGAAGCAACGAAGAAAAAATTAGAGAAACGAAAAGATACAATCCATGTCATTGGTCTCATTTTACTTTTACTACTCGTCGAAAAGAAAGATACTGTGTATTGAAAATAAAATTGAAATGATGTTTCGTCTACTTCGTGAAGTCATTCAGAGATAATGAGAAAGCACTCGTCAAGTACTTTCGATAATCGATAAACGATATAAAAAAAGAAAAAGAAAAAAAAAAAGAAGAACAAGAAATGAAGAAGAAGAAGAGGGGAGGGGAAGACACGATAAAGAATCGACTGTGCTATAGAGCAGACGCTACATGGCAATTACAGGGTCAACGGGCCAAGGAAAACGTCGTCCAGATACTCTTGAGTCGAGGTCATCGCCTTTGAGTACTAGCCAAAGAATTTTCGATCTCCCACCGTGGCTGATTCCGCTCCCGACACGGTTCCCTGCCTCGAAACAAGAAAAAACGAGACACATATTCGCGGCCGACTACTCCCTTTACCTTCGTTTTCCATCGAGAAACTTTATCGGCTTTCAACGTCCTGTAATATTTACGACCGAGCTACTAACAAACGTTCGAAAATTTAACGAAAAATAAATAAATTGAAATTAAATACGAAGAAGAAGAAGAAGAAGAAATGAAAAGAATTTACTTACCATCAACTTATCCCGGTCCAAGAAAGGAAGATCGCTCCCCTTGATATCCTTAGACTTGAAGACGTCCGCATAGCGGTAGAGATTTAGAGCAGCCATCCATTCGACAACGTTTAAAGATGTCCACTCGCTCACGGGCTGTTATAAAAGAGACGTGACACAGGTCAATCTTTTAAATAGCAAAAATTCAATAGTAAATCGGACATTAAGTCGCGAGAGATTCACGCGCATATGGTCCACGACGAATATTCGTAGATATAATTAATCGGCTTTCTCACGAATAAAATTACGTAAGGTTTCCGGTAATCATTGGCCGCGAATTCCGCGCTGATAAATCCCAATGACGCGCTTTGCCATTTAAAAAAAATTTTTCGACGAAGAATTTTTATATAAATAGAATGAATAATGTTCTTGCATAAAAATTCCAACCATCGCTGTTTCACTAGTCACAAATGTTAATGTCGGCTATAAGAATGTGGAAAAAAGATTGTCAATGTATTTCAATCCGTGTGAAGATAATCGTTAACCTTAAAACGAATATTTTTTTATTCTGCAATCTATATATATATGTCTCATCGTACGAAATAACATTGACGTAAATAAGTAGATTTATACATGCTATGATCAGACATAAGAATTCAAGAATTCTTACACCTCTGATCCCTATGGTTAAATTTACGAATTTCGAATATATATTAGATAAATCAAGATGACAAATCTGTTATTCCTTCTACGATACGAGAAAAATTAAAAATTTAATTTCATTTAAAATTATCCATTTCTGCGTATTATTTTCAATTTTAGAATGAATTGAAAACAAAATTCGTAAATTAAAAAATTTTTTTTTTTACATTATTATCGTTAGTTTCCTATTAAATAAAGTTACCTTAATGAATAAAAATTTGTTTTTTTATATTTCTTGTATCTTTCTTTCTCACCACGAATAAAAAATAATAAAACTTATTACTTGATAAATTTCCAATGAAAAACTACATTATCGAAACGTATCGTTTATTGTTCTGTCTCGTCGTTCGCGAGGATGCTGTCGGCGGATGCGAGCGTGGCTGCAAACGCGTCCACCACGCGACCAGAAGCTCGGATTAGATAGCACTAGCGCGACAAAAAGAGGACGAGGAGGCGAGAAAGAAGACCGAGCGCACGTACATACACGGCTGATATCGGGAATGCTCCGATAAAGCGAAAGCGTAAAAACCAAGGGAAAAAGAAAACGTAACCTTCTCTCGTAACCTTAAGCCTACGATCGTGACGACACGAGCGAGATAAGGCCGCGTATCACCCACTCGAAATAAGACTCGGAATATGTCTCCTGCGAATATACACGCGATTCATTTTAACGCTCCACACGTTACGTACACGTTCGTACAGCGTTACTCCGAACTATTTTCATCCCTTTACTTTTGTCGCATCGTTCGCAATCTTTGTGATAATCGAATGAGAAATGAGAAACGATAGCGAGGCCCATCGAATTGCGTAAATTTGAAAACTGAATTAGAAATACACGATACGTGTGTTGGTTGAAACCAGAGATGCGAATGTATCATTCAACGGGTTTGGCGCTAGCTCGCAAAATTACTACGCCGTGACATCGTGTCGTTCATAGGAATGCTTGCCCCGCTCGTGTGTATGTAAATTCGTGCACGCTGCCATTCCTCCTGTTCACGTGAACTCGTAAACATAAATTGCCGGAAAGTATGTATTATTCTATAAATAATACATAGATCAAATCTGATCTTATTTCGAAATTTTCAACTTTTGTGAATAATTGTGGATAAAATTCTAATAACCGATCTAGCTCATCGAGATGAGGATCACCGGATAAAAGAAGTCGAGATGGAGAATACAGTGTTAAGCAAAGATTTGATTTTTTTTTCTTTTTTTTTTGAATTTAATATATAGAGACAGTAGCAATGTTACGATTTAGGTCGTTACGCCATCAGATCTCGAATAGGTTTCGCTCTGATAACGAAACCTGGCTAGTGTTTGTGTACAAAGTCATGTTCCGAATAGAGGTGGGTAAAGGGGAAAACATGCGTTCGAAGCAGACTTCCAATGCTCGTGGTGAGAATATGTCTGCGATTTATGCAAATTAAACAGAGATACGGAGATAAATTGGACGTGGAACCAGTTGGTTCACCTCTGAAGGCGAGTAACAGGAGCATGGTAAATAATTTTCCTTGTAAATCGTCGGTTTCAGCTACTGTGCACCATGAGAACAAAAGCATTCTTATATATTTGCTTGAAATAAGATAAAATTAATTTTGCGAGCAAATTTTCGTTGATTTATAACGCTACAATTTTAATTTTAGAATAAATCGATTAAATCGCCAACGTGACCTTACTCATGTCGAGAACTAGGCAAAATCGGTGTCGTAATTGTAAACCTGAACTTTGACTGTAAACAGAATCGTTTGCTGATCAAAAGACTTAAATCGAAATTCAGCATTTAATAAAAATGCGCGACAAAGAAAATCAAAATTAGATATCGAACTAAAAGAAACTTATTTTCAAATAATTTTAAATTAAATTTTCTCGATTCTTTTCATGGAGAAACTAACGAGAAAAAAACGAAGCCTTTAATTTCTTAACTTTCTATTTTAAATGGCAGATGGATTAAACTTATATATTAAAAAAAAAAGAAAGAAAGAAAGAAAGAAAGAAAAAAGAATGATTCAATGTGTATTCGAAGATAAGAGCAACGATTCTTCAATCAGTTTATCAGTGATGTCTATCACGTGTTGACAAGAAAAAAAAGAACATGTAAAAATGAAAGAAAGAAAAAGAGCATGTAATAATAATAATAATAATAATAATCAAAAATAACAAAAACGGATGATTTTACTGACCTTGTCCTTGTCGAGAACCTGGCCCGGTAGCGCGTGACCCTTGCTACTCCATTGGCAGAGGTGCTGCCCGCTGTATTCCGAGCAGACCACGTGGAAGCACGCATGGCACTCTGGAGGACATAGAGAACCGCACATGCAGCAACATAGATTACGCATAGTAGCCGGTTCGCGGCCGGCTCCAGTGCCCTTGTCAAGGGCACGCTGTCCGCTATCGCCACCAAAGCCCTCATGACCGATTGAATTCGAATAGACGCTCTCCTCTGCCACTACATCGTAAGCATTACCATTTATCGACGATTCACTGTTCTGTTGTTGCGAAAAATCATTGCACGAGCACAGATACTGATGAAATGATACTGTTCTCGCGCAAGGAAATAACCCGCTCGGCCATAGATGCGAAAATTCCTCTGCATTTTCAAGCAATTCCTTCGAAATGCTTTTCGACGTTGGATTCGATCGGAATTGATCCGCAATCAAAGATAGTTTCGAAAATTGTTGCTTCCGGCTTATAGGAAGATTTAGAAACTTTGTCGAAGTTACAGAAGTGACGACGGGGCAAAAGGAGGACGACGACGACGAGGAAGCGGCATTATTAACGGAGTGAATTTGTTGTTGCTGATTAACGGAGGTATGTTGTCGTTTAGGCAAAAGCAACGCGGCACTTCCTTTAGAATTGTGTGGTTCCGATGATGGAGGAGGATCGTTAACGGGCATAGCTTTAATCGAGCTGGTACAAGTTTTTGCCGTGATCGCAATGCTGGTTTCGAGATCACTGTAAGTTCCATTGCTGTTGAAACCGAGTTTTGTGTGAAAATTACGTGGTGGTGGTATCTGTCTGGGATGTAGTTGCAAATTTTGTGCGATCGAGGAGGCATTCGATATAGAGGCTGCAGGCACTATCGCGGGGACGGTGGACGTCGAGGCGACGGCGCCATTGGCCGAAGTGGCGCCTTTGCGGAGCATGTAATTGTCAGAATCAACGGCTAGGAGCCGCGACATGGCCGTGGACTTAGCCTTAGTGTCATCGTTCGAGTATCCCTTGGGCAATACTTCGATCTTGTCTGTCCTGGTTTTCGTTTCGGCGAGCTTCTCGTATTCCTCCTTGTCCGCACAGCTCGCCGCCGTTATCGGGCTAAAGAGATCGTGTATCCTGCCGTGTAAGCCGACCGCAGGCTGCACCTGCGAAGCAGCGGTCGCAGCTGCTGCACCGGATGCACTCGACGCCCCCTTCATCGCTGAGGCCAATCACGGTCATCAAAACTCCAGCCACGACTAGGTTTTATTAAACACTTCCACGGAGGCTTTTAAGTTCAAGTTGTTACTTTCCGGCGAGTCCTGAGCCTCCCTCGATCGACGCGGATCGCCCGTCATCGTCGCCTTCGCCTCGTCAACCGAAGTACTCTCGGTTCCGTTTTACGGAACACACAACAAGCTCACGATATAACAGTCGCGGCCGATTCTTCTTATTCTACTTACTTTCTTTCCGCTCCCTCCGCTCCTCCAGGATACCACTGATTCACCACCGTTCGACTCTCGCGTGTTAAAAACGTAATCGTTTCAATTGATTCGCGTTGCAAGGTTACTCGCATGTCGCCATCAACGATCTAGCGATTTTAAGTTACGCTTTTCTTTTTTCTTCTTTTTTTTTTCTTCTTTTTCTAAAAGATGCCAAGATGCCAAGATTCCAAGATTGGGAATTCGTTCGAGACAAGAGTAGAATAGATCGTGATTCGTTGTGATCTCTGTATGTTTTTTTTTCTCACGACCAACAACAATACATCATTTTCTTTGATTTCTTTTATTTTATTCAAAAGGATTCACTAAACACTGCTTGAAACCGGCTTCGTTCGTTCAATCGCGTTCGTCGCGTTATTAATTGCCGATCAGCCACGAAGAAACGTGTCGTTTCATATTCGAGTTAGTTAGCTTATCGCCAAACACGTCGATATCTTTAAAAAGGAAAGATTCCACTCGTTATTAGCATGGAGAAAGATAAAGAGAGTAGAGGAAAAAAAGAAGGTCCGTCGAATTTCCAATGGGGTAACCTCTTCTCAAGTGACGTGATCCAACGATGTGATTCGATTCTCAATTTCGTCCTTTATTATTAATATGCTTGAAATGGAAATAGACGAACAACGTGGAAGACAGATAAGGAGGAGAAAATAAAAAAAAAAAAACAGAACAAAGAAAGAAAAGAGAGAGAGAGAGAGAGAGAGAGAGAGAGAAGAAGAGTACACGTACGGTGGT